CTAAATCCATGCATCATTCTAACTTAAACATGAAGTCAACTTGCATGGTAATTATTTTAATTGCTATTGCATATGGTGAGGCTTGCATTATCCAGTAGAGTTGCCCACTGGTTTCAGGTATAGAACTATGTATAGTCATAACAAGCTTCTGGGTTTTATTCAGTATTGCAGGCTAATGTAGCAGTTACTTAAACATTCTACTTTTCCTTTAAATGTCATAGTGTGTGATTCAGCAGAGCTGTGTGCTGAAGGAAGGGAACATGAGAAGCACCAGTTAGTAATTTGTGCTGCACCTGAATAGGTTTCCATAGCTTTAGGCATACTGTGCCAGTTGAAGACATTGAAGCTTTGCTGTAAGTTAGGGTTTTAGTTTCAAACACTTTTCCCCCTTCTCTTTTCTCCTAGAGGTTTTCTAACATTTGCTAATAATTCTTTTTTTTTTTTCCTGGGCTGGTGGTTGGAGTACAAGATCCCTGTCTAGATGGTCTTTGGAATGAAATGTATTTTAAAATAGTGACCTCTGAGAGTATAGTTTAGAACTGACCATTTTTCAAACATTTGTTCAATGAAAGCAGGCAGACACAGTCTCTCTTTGACCCAGTTGTGTTGCCTCTTTGGAGGGAGGAGGGAAATACAGCTAATAATGATCTTCTTTTTCCCCTCAGAAAAAGAGACTTGCTGTGGGTTTTGTATAGCCTATTGCCAATATCAGGAGGCAGCCAGGCCAGCTGGGAATGGGAGCACTTCCTCTGGTAGGCTGCGGCTCAATTTCAAGCTACGTGGGAAGAAAGAAGGGTCATGGACAATACCATGAGGGACACAAGAGGTAGTGGTCAGTACGCCAAGTGAAATAGCCCCCCTGGGAGTCAGCACCTTTGAAATAGGCATTGGTACCTCTGGAATCATTCTGCCTAGCCTAGACACATTCTTGTGTCCCTCAATTTTTTTTTAACTGTCTCATTTGTCTGGCTTGTCTGCAGAATTCACAGTTCTCTCCTTGTGTCTGAGCTGCAGTCCTGTACACATGCAAACATTGGTGCTTTGCATTGGGAGAGGAGTTTGTCATAGTATATCATGTATGTTAAGTGCATCTACGGTGCATGTCTAAGCATAGCTTATTGGAAAGCCTTGTCCTCTGCTAAAGAAACAGCCCAAAAGAATGCACCAAGGCTGTAGGATGTATTTTTCTTACTAGCTTTTTAAGCATCATATGAAGGAGTGGTGGCTGGTTCATGGCTCTGTCAGACTTTCAGAGCAGTTAATTTGGCAACTGTTGTGTCTCCACTGAGTGTCCCACACAGACAGGCCCTTATTGGGGAATTGCTTGTGGCCCACAGCCTGCTTCATTCTCTCTATTTTTTGAGGGTCCTAGAGTTTCTCATGTATTGGATCAGCTTTCTTTCCATGCCTATCCCCAGGCCCTTTCACATGAGACATGAGGCAGTTAGTGTGGTTAGATGGCATTGCATGCTTGGTTGCGTAAGGGATGTGAGCCTGCAGCTGTGACTTGCCCAGCTGAAAAGCCCAGAGTCACTGGCTTAGGAAATCTTTGAGGCAGAGAATCAGCTAGTACTAGAACTGAGGTGCGTGGTTGCTTGACGTCCTGGTTAGTTTTGATACCTTTTGTTTTTAAATAACTTATTTTCAAAAAAAGCTATTTTGGTATGGGGATTTTTCCCCAAATTAACTAATCCTCAAAATATGTATGCTTCTGTGGTTTCTGGTCCCCTGGACTTAAGTATAAAAAGTTGTCATGTTTCAGATAACCAAAGGGTCCTTCCTCCCCCTTCTGAAAAAGGGGAAGACCCAGCGCTAGAAGCCAACCATGGTAATCGCTTCCTCCTTCCAGTAGCTTTTTAAGCATGTGTGATGTCATACCCAACAGCAGGCACCCCTTCTCTCCCTGCTTGTGTACTGGTCTGGCTGCTTCCCTTCCACTGGGGCAGCACAATCAGTTTCAGTAAGTCCCAAAAAATATGCAGCGTCCGTTTTGAGGGGATTATAGAAAACTTCTGGACTGATTCTTTCTGAAGTGGATTTGGCAACCAGCTTGCAAGTATTTTTCTTTGAAGTAGAACAAAGCTTACTCAGTGTGTATGCAGGCATGGCAAGAAATGCAGCCTTTGCCATCAGCCTCTATTCTTCAGGGGGCTCTGGAGCAGTCCTGTCTGAAGCCTGGTGTATTTCAATGGCAGTTTTGAGTTGTTCCGTTTACACCAGGGCAGACACAGCAAAAATGTAGCTGGTTTGGTTATTTTAAGTTTTAGCTTACAATACTTGGAATGCTTCTGAACAGGCTCCTGCCCTAATTTACAAAAACAGCATTCCCCACCTAATATTTCTTATTTGTCTTGGCTTAGCTGTATGAAAATCATTGTTTCAACAATTTGGCTATTAAGTTTTCTCTATGAGATTCATATTTTCTTCTCAAAACACAGTTGGAACGCATCTGGCCAGCCTCAGGTGATGGTCTGCAGCAATGCTTCCCACGCCGTAATGGCAGTATATTAATCACCCACCACTTACAGGCTACTGTTATCTGCAAGAGGGCTTTGAAATTCTCTGCAAGAGGTGCTTGGTTTCATTTTCTTTTTAATTTCCTTGCTGAGCAACGATGAGCTCTCTGTTGTGCCTGTGCAGCGCATGCTGCTTCTAGGCTAGCGAAACTCCAGACTGGTAAAGTGGAAGAAGGGAGCAATTTGTGTCATAGATGCTGACTGATTGCCTGTCCCTTTGGGCATCTTTGTAATGGCCTCCAAAAGAAAGACTTACTGTACTGGGCAGAAAACTGGAGGAGCCATTGTGTATTCACTAGTGTGCAGCAGTTGCAACTATGGACAACACAGACGCTTTTAGATAGAAAAGCATTGAGGGCAGAGTTAGACAGTCCTGCTCTGTGACCTCTCTAAAAAGGGTCTTCGGTTTTCACATAGGGGGTTAGTGGGAACGAGGAAGAGAGATTCCTGTCCTGTGCTTGCTGAGGCTTTTGATTTTTAAGTTAACTTTCCTATGTCTTCAAAGTGAGGAGAAGGTTATAACATACTTAAACAGCCTGCATATATTGGGAGGGTGGCATGGAGCAGAGATGGCTGGGCTTTGTGCCAAAGATTCAGTTCTGCTCTCAAGACTAGAGCAGAAATGGATTGTTTTGCTTGAGTAATGCAAGACCAAGGAGACTGGAAGCCGTGGACTGCCTTGGCTCCAAGCGTTTTTCTGATGCTGTCTATTAATGGTGTAAAATGCCATATCAAAAAATTAGCTTGAATCCGATGAGGAGGCAGAATATTTCACCCGAGTTTTGCTGTGTTTTGTACAGAAGTGTTCTTGTCCGGTTGAATAATGCGGACATTTGTCTTCATGTGGGTCCAAACGAGCCTGAACATACATCAACCATCCCTGGAGGTATTTAAAAGAAGGATAGATGAGGTGCTTAGGGACATGGTTTAGAGGTGGGATGGCAGGGTTAGGTTAACGGTTGGACTTGATGATCTTAAAGGTCTTTTCCAACCTAGACAATTCTATGATTCTATTCTATTCTATAACTTGTCAAATGCGATGACAGAGCATTGTCTTGCTGCGTGTACCTGAATCTCAACTCTCATACCAGCAGAGTAGACAACCATCTCTACAGGCCTACCCAAATTGGCTCTACCAATTGCAGTTATCAACTTTTGAGTGTACAATTAGTAGGCCTCTCCAGTCTCTTATCCCTGGCATTTCAGGATCACTAGAACTGTTCCCTGTAGGGACAAAGCAGCATTCAGAGGCTTGGGCCTTTATGACAAATCCCAAGTATTTGAAGTCTGTTCTTGCAGGAGCCAGAGCAACTACAGGTCTTTGAACTGAAGTCCAAGGATGTGACTAAAGCCATGGGGTGTTACACACTCTGGTGTCCAGACTGCTCACCATCCAGAATGGTGTATCACAGTACGCTGTGTCCGTCTCCCTGGTGCCCAAAGGAAACCGCAGCACCAGGGGCTGATGCACACACAAAGTCCCATCCCAGCCTGTAGCTTGATGCTTGCTCAGGCTGGGACAATGGAGTGTACTTGCTTTATGGGGTTGAATCTGTGCATATTTGCTTGCATGGCTGCTTGTGTAATTTATTAGCTTTTCTTTGGGCACAGCTACATGATGTAGGGGTTACTGCCGCTCCTGAGGCCAGCACAGTTGCGTCCATCTAACACAGTGCGGTACCAATCACCAGCTGGAGTTTTAGATAATTGTGGTTTTGATACACTGCTTCCAGAATGGATCATCTGTCTTGAGCAGTGGATCTGTGGGGATGTATCTGCGATAGAGTTGCAGCGGGATGACACGTCTGGGCAGGGTGCTCCAGCTGCGGGACAGTCTCTCTGTTCTGGTATCTTTGTGCTTGTGATGAAGACAAGCCATGGGACAGATTAAAAGTTTCTTGGCAAGGGTTTCAAGCAGAGAACAACTGATGCAAGTCACTGTGTGTGTAGCTCTGGGAAGTATTCTGCATACCAAGTTGACAGGGGTAGAACAAGGGTGTAAATAAGAGGATAAATGGCTGCAAGGTGCTGTGTTCGTTCTTCCTGATGTCTATACACGTATCTTTGGATTGGAATCAAAGATCTATCAAGCATGTGGAATGTGCTGTGGTGCAATTCTCACACTCTGAGGGCAGATGAGAAATGAAAAGCGAAGTAGAACTGACTAAAATTGAGATGCTCCCTCCCTAACATCACCCACTTCCTACCGCTGTTCACCTGGCAGCTGTGTCAGTCCCAGCGGTGCAGCTGCTTAGTATGCATCTTGGGTCACTTCTGAGGCCATGATTCAGAAGCTGCCGAAGTGCTTCCTGGGCAGGGAATGGAATTGAACAAGTGCTTTCCTGAATTTGAATCAGGTTCATTAGTGCAGATTTTTATTGTTTGCATTCTAGTGTAAAGCAGGCCTTTTTCCATTAGTGTTTGTTTTTACATTTTCCCCACGTTTCCAACATTAACCATTCCTTTTTTTTTTTCCTTTTCCAGGAAAAGAGGAGTAGAAGTGGTGCAGGTGAGTAAAAACTATATATGATTTTTTTCCCCTCTATTTTCTTGTAAATAAGGCTTACAGATTTTAAATGCTATCATCTCGATGTCAATATGACTTGGGCTTAATTATTTTTCTTTCTTTTCCATTCAATTCTCTGCTACGGATACTGGTTTTGGAAAAAGAGGATCCCCCTTTTGTGAAGCATGTGTTGAACCCACCTAGTTTTAACTCAGCAAGTGCCCTGGTGAAAGTGGGAATGGAGTTAGGCTCTTCTTATGTCTATTAATTAATAAGATCTGATAGCTGATTAGGTGATGTTACTCTGTGTTTGCTGCATGCATGGATGGTCAGGCTTAACAGAAACAGGAGCTGACCTTTGAAAAAAAACTGTGGCAGAAAGAATGTTCTTGTAACCCAGGGAGCAGAGAAATGATACTTAAGTGCCTTCCAGTTGTAGCCCATTTCAGGTAGATAATTTCAGGTGTTGGCTACGTTTGTTCTTTCCCATGTCTGAATGGTCTATTTCACACAAGATGTTACTTAAAAGATGTTGGCAATTTGGGAAAGGGATTATGTTACCATGACAGCTGTAACATAGAGCACTATAGCCCTAAAAGAT